GACTTGAGGCCCTCTTGCACCGCCTGAGATGCCTGGAGGCCGTCTGGGGGGTGACCCAGGACGGCTGTTTGGTGGCTCTCTGGGGCGATGCTGGGTCCCCCAAAATCGACCCTGGCCCCCGGCACGCACATTTGCGGTCGGGGTCCCGGCCCCGGCCCCCCCAGGCCCGGCCCCCCCAGGCCCGGCCGCCCGTCATATGTGCATACTATGCCTACCTATACGACCACCCTTCGGGTGATAAGGAGGTTTGGGGGGGGGAGGAAATAACGTCTCACTCGATCGGTCTCACTATCGATCTCACTATCGATCTCACTATCGGTCTCGCTCGATCGATCTCACTCGATCGATCCCACAATCGATCTCACTCGATCTATCTCATTCGATCGATCTCACAATCGATCTGACTATCGATCTCACAATCGATCTCACTATCGATATCACGATTGATCTCACGATCGATCTCACATTCAGTCTCACTATCGATCTCACTATCGATATCACAATCGATATCCCAATCAACGTCATCATCAGCATCACCATCATCATCATCATCATCATCATCATCATCATCATCGTCATCAACATAATCGTCATCAATGTCATCAACATCATCATCATCATCATCCTCATCATCATCATCATCATCATCATCATCATCATCATCATCATCATCATCATCGGGACACCATCATCATCACCATCACCTCATCACCGTCATCATCATCGGGACACCATCATCGTCACCATCATCATCATCATCATCATCATCATCATCATCCTCATCGGGACACCATCAGCATCATCAGCATCGGAACACCACCATCAGCATCACCATATCATCATCAGCATCATGAACAACATCATCAACATCATCATCATCATCATCGGGGCACCATCATCATCAGCAACAACATCATCATCATCAACATCATCATCATCATCGGGACACCATCATCACCATCATCATCATCATCATCGGGACACAATCATCATCATCAACATCATCATCATCGGGCCACCATCCTCAAAATCATCATCACCTCATCATTATCCTCATCATCAACATCATCATCATCGGGACACCATCATCGTCATCATCATCATCATCATCAACATCATCATCACCATCGGGACACCATCATCATCATTATCACCATCATGAGCAACAGCATCATCATCAACCTCATCATCACCATCATCATCGGGATACCATCATCGTCGTCAGCATCATCATCATAATCAGCATCATCATCATCATCATCATCATCATCATCATCATCATCATCATCATCATCATCTTCATCTTCATCTTCATCTGCATCATCATCATCATCATCAACATCATCATCATCATCATCATCATCATCATCATCATTATCATTATCAGCAGCATCATCGCATCATCTCATCATCATCAACATCATCAGGATCATCAACATCATCATCGGGACACCATCATCATCATCACCACAATGGCCATCATCATCACCATCATCATCACCATCATCGTCATCATCATCATCGGGACACCATCATCATCACCACCATCACCATCATCATCACCATCATCATCAACATAATCGACATCATCATCATCATCATCATCATCATCAACATCATCATCATCATCATCATCATCGTCATCATCATCATCATCATCATCAGCATCAGCATCAGCATCAGCATCATCATCATCATCATCATCATCATCATCATCATCATCATCATCATCATCATCATCATCATCGGGACATCGACGGGACACAGGCAGGACACCGGCGGGACACCGCGCGGCACCGGACGCCGGAAGGGAGACTTTTGGTCCAGCCGCGCCTCAATCACAGCGGGACACCGGCGGGACACCGCGCGGCACTGGACACCGGAAGGGAGACTTTTGGTCCGGCCGCGCCTAAGCCACAGGAGACTTTCTTCTCGCCCGCCCACGCAGCTTCGCCTCGCCCGCACGCACGGCACGCACGAACACGAAACCGAAACCGATTTCCCGGTAGGGGGGCTCTCTGTTCCACTTCGATCTCACCCCCTCACCTCCGAAATATGTTTTTGTTGCTGATCCTGCAGTCTCGTTTGATTATCCTCGCTTGTCTTTTCCCCGCGAGGCGCGGCGAGCTTTGCGGCGACAGGCCGGGGGTCGGCGGCCAGAACTCCCTCCGATGGCTCCGGCGGGAGCTCTGGCGCGTCCTCCGAGGCCGCCGCGGCCCCTGCCACCACGGCACACGAGGACGAGCGGCGCTAGTAGAACAAGAAACGGCATGGGCACACGCGCAGATCTCTTGGAGTTCCGCGCAGGTCTCTTGGAGCCCCCCTCCCTTGGTGCCAGGGGCGGCCCTCTCCGCCAAGGAGGCCGAAGGCCGATCCAAGAGAGCCGCGCGGATCTCCGAGAAATCCCGTTCGTGCTGTCCCTTGCTCCCCGGCCTCGTCTTCGAGGGCGAGGAACTCTGGCCGAGGGCTTTGTGCAGCGGCTGCTCAGTCGAGGGCGCCCTCGCCGGGGTCTCGCGTGGCCGAGAAACACGTCAGCGGGGGTCCGGGGAGATTCGGGCCTGGGACTCGCATTGAGAGAACTGGGTTGAACATGCCCAGACTACGAGAACGGCACCCATGCACCGTTCCATGTTCGGGCTCCCTTTAGGCCCCACTCCAACGCGGTACGGTGCACAGTACTTCGGCTTTAAGGGGCCGAGAAACTATGCACCAATACCATTCCTGGGCCGAGGATCGACGACGCCTCGAGATACGCCAACGCGGTGCGGTGCACACATGTCGCCCGCGGACAGACATGAGAATCTTCGGAACAGTTTTGGCGGCCGTGGCCGTGGCCGTGGCAGTGGCCAGATGTTCGGGACTTCCGGCCCCTGGAGGCCGGCCGGGGCCGCCAAGACAGTCGAAAAACGACTCGGGACAAGAACGGCCGTGGGAGCCCTAAACCGAGGGAAAGACTCCCGAAGATCGATCCTCGAGGCTCGAGACGACGACGGCGACGATGACGACGACGACGACGACGACGACGACGCCGACGACGACGACGGTCGACGACGGTTGACGACGACGACGACGACGACGACGACGACGCGCAGGCCCGCGAGCGTCAGCTGCCAGGCACCCCTGGGCGCCCAGAGGGAAGCTGTCCGAACAGGGCCCCCTCGTCGAGGAGGAGGAGCAGGAGGTCGAGGAGGAGGGAGGGAAGGCGGGAGGGAGGGAGAGAGGGAGGGAGGGGGAGGGAGAGGAGGAGGGGGACATCGAAAGAAGGAGGTTGAGGAGGAGGAGGCGAGGGAGGAGGAGGAGGAGGAGGAGGAGGAGGAGCAGGAGGAAGGGATGAGGAGAAAGAGGAGGATGAGGAGGGTGAGGAGGAGGAGGGGTAGGAGGGCGATAAGGGCGAGGAGAGAGAGGATGAAGTAGGATAAGGAGGAGGGCGAGGAGGGCGAGGAGGGCGAGAACAGAGAAAGGAAGAGGGCATCGCACGATGTTATGGAGGAAAGCGAGCCTCGTGCCTCAACGACCGAGGTCCGAAGTTGTTTTGTCTTCGGGGCCCCTCGTCGCCGCGGCTGGGCGCATCTCGAAGCGAAGTTTTTTCGCTGGTCGAGGAGGTGCAGGACGAGGATGGGGAGGGAGATGAGGAGGCCGAAGCATCAATAGCAGTTGGAGCAGCAGCTGGGCCGCCTTGAAACTGTCTTGTCGGCGCCTGGGGAATCTCTTGGAACTCATTACGTGATAACCAGACGGACATCTATGCATTTAGCGTCTCTGAGTCATCTTGAGTTTCCTCACGGGGCCTCTTTGGGCCACTTCACGCCCTCTCGGGCCGTCCTGGGACCCTTTTGGGGCGTCTTGGAGGGCTTTGGCTGCCTTGAGGCCTTGTTGGGGCCCTCTTGGAAGGCTCTTGGGGCCCTCAACTCCCTTGAAACCATTTGGGACCTTCTGGGCCTTCCTGGAGCCGCCGAACGGCCCAAGAGGCCCCAAAGACGGCCCCAAGAGGGCCCCAACACGGCCTAAGAGGCCTCTAGGACGCCCAGGATGGCCTCCAAGACGGCCCTGGAGCACCCCAAGAGGGTCCCAAGTCGGCCCAGAGAGGCCCCTAAGACGGCTTCCGACGGCGCCAGACGGGCCAGGAGCCCGCCAAGACGGCCGAAGATGGCTTTAAGATGGCCCAAGACGGCCCAAGAGGCCTCCAAGAGGGCCTCCAGGAAGGCCCATAAGGGCCAAAATCTGCGATTATCCATGGGCTTGTGAAAGATGTTGGCATGTGCTTCTTTTCGGCCGACCGACGGCCCGAGGCGGCCCAAGAGCCCCAAAAGATCGCCCCAAGATCGCCCAAGAGGCCTCCAGGATGGCCCCAGAACGGTCCAAGAGGCCCCCAAGACGGTCCCAAGAGGGCCCCAAGACGGCCTAAGACGCCTCCAAGAGGGCCCAAGATGGCCTCCAAGACGGCCCTGGAGCACCCCAAGAGGGCCCCAAGTCGGCCCAGAGAGGCCCCTAAGACGGCTTCCGACTGCGTCAGACGGGCCAGGAGCCCACCAAGACGACCAAAGAGGCCCCCGAGAAGCCCCCAAAGGCCCTCAAGAGGCCCAAGGAGGCCCCCAAGATGCCTCCAAGAGGCTCCCAGGAAGCTCCCAAGAGGCCCCAAGAGTGTCTCCAGAGGATCACTCCGATACATATATGTATGTAATGTATGCATATGTGTGTGTGCATACATATATAACTATATATATATATGTATATGTGTGTGCGTATATACATATAAGTATATATACACTTGCATATATATATTATATATATATATATATATAATATATGTATATATATATATATATATATGCGCACACGGCTATAAAGATGACTGTCGCGTATGGAAGCCATGCATAAGTACTGCGAGACCATCAAAGATTGCGTGAGGTAAAAAGGAGGATGGAGCGGATCTGAACGCGAGAGGGCGCGGGCGGGACGGGGCGGGGCTGCAGGGCGCGACGGGGCCGCGGCCGGCGGGCCTCCATGACGATGGGGTCGAGCTGGCGGGCGTGCGAGGAGAGCCCGAAGCCTCGCAGCGCGCTGGGCATGCCCCCCCGTCCTCCTCCTCCTCCTCCTCCTCCTCCTCCTCCTCCTCCTCCTCCTCCTCCTCCTCCTCCCTCCTCCTCCTCCTCCTCCTCCTCCCCTCCTCCTCCTCCTCCTCCTCCTCCCCTCCTCCTCCTCCTCATCCTCCTCCTCCTCCTCATCCTGTTACTCTCCTCTTTCCTCCTCCTCCTGCTCCTCCTCCTCCTCCTCCTCTCCTCCTCCTCCTTCTTCTTCTCCTCCTCCTCCTCCTCCTCCTCCTCCTCCTCCCTCCTCCTCATCCTCCCCTCCTCCTCCTCCTCCTCCCGCTCCTCCTCCTCCTCCTCCTCCTCCTCCTCCTCCTCCTCCTCCTCCTCCTCCTCCTCCTCCTGCGGCGGTGGCCCCGGGGCTCCCGAGTCCGCGGGGAGCCCCGGGGCCTTTCGGCGAGCGCGGCACGCGCGGCCGCCGCGCCCCGCCGCGCGCCGCCGCGAGCCGCCGCAGCTGCCGCCCGCCGCCGGGCGAGGCGTCTGCGCCGCCAGGCGCCGTCGCGGCCGCCGCCGCCGCGCGGTCGCCGCCGGTGCCGCCCCGCGCGCCGCCGCCGGGCGCGCCGCCGCCGAGCCGCCGCCGCCGGGCGCCGTGCCGCGCGGCGCCGGGCGCCGCCGCGGGCCGCGGGCCAGGTGGTTGTGACGTAGGAGGTCTGAATCCTCCCCCACCTGGCCCAATGCGCGCCCGCGGCGGCCACGCCGCAGCGTCCGCGGCGCGGGGTGCAGCTCCAGCAGCCGCGGCGGCGCCAGGGGGCCGGGCCGCGGGTCGTGCCCGGTCAGCGGTCAGCAGCCAGGGCAGGCGCGCTTACGCGCGCCGCGCGCGCCGCGCTGGCGGCGCGCCGGGGTTCGCGGCAGGCGTCCGCCGGGCCGCGCCGCCCCGCGGCAGCACGGCAGTCCGCCAGGCTTCGGCGTTGCCCCGCTGCAGCGCGGCAGAGAGGCTTTGCCGCGCGGCCGCGAGGACTTGTGGGTCCCCGGCAGACCAAGTGCGCAGCAGGGCCTGCGCCTCCTTCCCAGGCCGGCCCAGCGTCTCGAGTGCGAAGGCGAGGAGCGCGGGCCCTGGGTAGCGCCGGTGCTTGCGCTCTTCGGCCGCTGCGGCCGCGGCGCCGTCCCTGGTCGCGCGGCTGCGGCCCGCGCCCGTGCCAGCCCCGAGCGCAGCGTCGGTGACCGTGACGTCGACGTACTGCCGCCCAGCGACAGGATCAACGTAGGTCACGTCCAAGCGCGCGGCTTCCACGCTGCCGTCCGGGCGGGCGCGGTCCCAGGCGGGCACGGCCTGCTCGGTGTCCACGCCCGCGGCGCCCTGCTCAGCCAGCCAGCCGGCCAGCCAGTCGCGCACGCCGTCGTGCTTCTCGATGGCCAGGCCGCCCGCGGGGCAGCCTACCGCGTGGCCGGGGTCCGCGCGCAGGTCGCAGCCGCAGACCGTGCCGTCGCTCCTCCGCCGCAGGCAGGTGGGGCTGGCTCCCTCGGGCAGTGGCAGGCGCAGCCGGAGGGCGAGCGCTGGTTGCAGGTGCTCGTCAGCCAGGAGGTGGTCTTGCCGCGTCGGGGGCAAGAGGAAGGCGCCCGCGCCTTTGCCACCCGCGGAGCGGAGGCTGGCGGCTTCGCTCGCCGGCAAGGAGGCCAGCAGGCGGGCGCGTCGCTGCTGCTGCGCCGGCTGAGTCAAACGCTTCTGCGCCTTCTCCCGGCGCTCGGCTGCGGCGTAGACCCAGGCAGCGGCGCTCGTCCCAGCCAGCCGCCCCGCTTGCTCGACCGTCGCCCACGTCTGAGGGCAGGCGGCGGCAAAGGCCTGGAGGCTGGGCTCGCCGAGCTCGCGGCGCACCTCCGCCAAGCACGCCTGCCAGGAGCCCACGAACGCGGGCAGACGTCGCTCCTCCAAGCTGTGCAGGCCAAGCCCGCTGCCCGCCAAGGGCAGGAAGGCCTCCTCGCGCGCAGTCGCGGTGAGCGGCTGCCCCAGCGCACCCTGAGCGTGCTCCAAGACTCTGTCGTCGTAGGCGCGGGCCCAGGCCTCGTCGAGCAGGTGCGCGCGCGCGTGGTGGAGGGCCGCGCCGTTGACGAACGTGCGCAGGAGCACGAGCTCGTCCTGCAGCCGGAGGCCGTGCCCGCGCAGGTGTCCCAGCTTCGCCAGGAATGCGCGCAAATGGCCCGCCGCCGACTCGGGCGCGGCCGCCGTGCCAAAGCTCGTCCGCCCGGGATCCTGGCCGAGGTCGTCTTCCGCCGCCCCGCCGCAGACGAACGGCAAGCGGCTGCCTTCGCACTTGAGCTCGGCCACCGCCGCGGTCGCGAGACCTGGCGGGAGCTGCAGCCCGCGCGGGTTCCACACCTTGGTCTTGTCGGCGTTGAGGCGGAGGCCGCGCGCTGCGAAGAGAGCCGGGGCGTCGGCGAGGGCCGCGGCGAGTGCTTGCGGCGTGCCGACGACAAACACGTCCTCCTCCTTCTTCTCCTTCTCCTCCTCCTCCTCCTCCTTCTTCTCCTCCTCCTCCTCCTCCTCCTCCTCCTCCTCCTCCTCCTGCTCATCCTCCCCCTCCTCCTCCTCCTCCTCCCCTCCCTCCTCCTCCTCCTCCTCCTCCTCCTCCTCCTCCTCCTCCTCCTCCTCCTCCTCCTCCTCCTCCTCCTCCTCCTCCTCCTCCTCGAGGAGGGGGGGAGAGGGAGAAGGGATGGAAATGAGGGAGGTAGGAGGCGGGAAGGGGGAGGAGGGGGAAGTGGCGGAGGCGGGGGGGAAGCAGGAGGGGAGGTGGAGTGGGGAGGCGGAATGGAAGTCCCCTGGGAAGGGAGATTTGGAGAGGGAGCTGATGGAGGCGGGAAACCTCTTCGATCCTCGATCGCTCCTCTTCTTCCTCCTCCTCCTCCTCCTCCTCCTCCTCCTCCTCCTCCTCCTCCCTCCTCCTCCTCCTCCTCCTCCTCCTCCTCCTCCTCCTGCTCCTCGTCCTCGTCCTCGTCCTCGTCTTTTTCCTCCTCTTCCTCCTCCTCCACCTCCTCCAACTCCTCCTTCTCCTCGTCCACCTCGTCTTCCTCCTCCACCTCCTCCCCATCTTTGTATGATTAGTCTTCGTATGGTTACTATTCGTCTCCGTGGTACTACTACGAGTAGTAATAGTATTAGTACTCTTACTGTTATTGTCATTAGTAATAGTAGTAGTAATCGTAGCATCATTAGTAGTGTGTTAATAACAACTCTAGCATTCATAATACGACGAATGATGACAATAATCACAACATCAATAATAATACGTAGCACCGGCGTCGAGCCGGCGGACCTCGTGGCATTCACCTTCCCTCTTGATGGCGCCCTCCTCCTCCTCCTCCTCCTCCTCCTCGTCCGCGTCCGCGTCCGCGTCCTCATCATCCTCCTCTTCATCCTTTTCCTCCTTGTCCTCCTCCTCCTCCTCCTCCTCCTCCTCCTCCTCCTTTTCCTCATCCGTTTGGAACGAATGCATAAGAAACCCGCCGCAGGCGCCGAAGTTTTGGGTCGCGGGCTCTCCACCTCCACCTGGAAGGGATTCAAAAACAGCCCGCCGCAGGTGACGAAACTTTTGATTTGTACACTGAACGCGGTTTGGGTCGCAGGTTCTCCACCTGGAACGAATGCAAAAGAAACCCGCCGCAGGCGCCGAAGTTTTGGCTTGTTCAGTAAGAGTAGTGTGTGTCGCGGGTGGGTCGCGGGCTCTCCACCTCCACCTGGAAGGGATTCACAAACAGCTCGCCGCAGGCGCCGAAAATCCCACCAGCCCTTTGGGCGTGAGTGGTTTAGAGAGCCCGCTCTGTTCTCAACCCCCCTTCTTCCCCTTCGGGGAGGGGTTTACCCCTCCCCCTACCCCCTCCCCCTGAGCCTGGAGAGGGCGCCTCGCGGGTGGTCAGAAGGGTCGTTTTCGACTCCTGGGAGGGCTAAAAAACGACACCCCTCACGAGGATTCTGGCCCCGACGGGGGGAGGGAGAAAAAATGCTCCCCTCTTCTTTGAAGCCAAAATCATTGATTTTACCACGGTTGTGGCCCCATTTTGGCCTTCTGAGGGGGCAGCGCTAATTAAAGCTCCCCTCTTCTTTCAAGCCAAAATCATTGATTTTACGAAGGTCATGGCCCCAATTTGCCCTTTCTGAAGGGGGCAGCGCTAATTAAAGCTCCCCTCTTCTTTGATCGATTTCCTCCTAGATGGCCCCAAGAAGCGCCAAGGAGGCACCAAGAGGCCCCAAGATGGCCCCAAGAGGCCCCCAGAAGGCCCCCAAGAGGCCTCCAAGAGGCCCCCAAGATGCCCCCAAGAGGCCCCCAAGAGGCCCCAAGAGGCTCCCCCGAGGCACCCAAGACGCTCCTGGAAGCCCCTGGGGCCGCCAAGAGGCCCCCAAGACGCCCCAAACGGCCTCCAAGAGGCTCCCAAGAGGCCCGAAGAGGCTCCCCCAAGGCACCCAAGACGCTCCTAGAAGCCCCTGGGGCCGCCAAGAGGCCCCCAAGACGCCCCAAAAGGGGACGAGGTGCCCGAACGCCTCACGCCACGAGGAGCCCGAACGACTCACACCAGGACGAGGGGCCCGAACGACTCACACCACGAAGAGCCCGAACGACTCACACCAGAAGGAGGGGCCCGAACGACTCACACCAGGACGAGGCGCCCGAACGACTCACACCACGAGGAGCCCGAACGACTCACACCACGACGAGGGCCCCGAACGACTCACACCACGAGGAGCCCGAACGACTCACACCAGGAGGAGGGGCCCGAACGACTCACACCAGGACGAGGGGCCCGAACAACTCACACCACGAGAAGCCCGAACGACTCACACCAGGACGAAGAGCCCGAACGACTCACACCACGAAGAGCCCGAACGACTCACACCAGGAAGAAGGGCCCGAACGACTCACACCAGGACGAGAAACCCCAAACGACTCAAACCACGAGGAGCGCTTTCTCTCCCTCCTCCTCCGCCTCGTCCTTCTCCCGCTCCCCCCACAAGGAGGATGTACAAGGAGGCGGGAGGAAAGAGGAACAGGGGAGATATGCGGGGGCAAGCGGACACACGCCTGAAAAACACGACTGTCGGCATGCTTCGCAAGAGTTGCTGTTGTGAGATGGGCTGGTGGGGATACGCGAAGCGTAATGAATTTTGGCTTGTACGCTGAACGCGGTTTGGGTCGCGGGTGGGTCGCAGGTTCTCCACCTGGAACGACTGCAAAGAAAACCCGCCGCAGGCGCCGAAAATTTTGGGTGGGTCGCGGGGTGGGTCGCGGGTGGGTCGTGGATGGGTCGTGGATGGGTCGCGGTGGGTCGCAGGTGGGTCGCGGGCGCGGTTTGGGTCACGGGTGGGTCACAGGTTCTCCACCTGGAACGAATGCAAAAGAAACCCGCCTCAGGCGCCGAAAAATTTGGGTGGGTCGCGGGGTGGGTCGCGGGGTGGGTCGCGGGTGGGTCGCGGTGGGTCGCGGGTGGGTCGCGGGTGGGTCGCGTGTGGGTCGCGGGTGGGTCGCCGGGTGGGTGTCGGGGTGGGTCGCGGGCGGGTCGCGGGGTGGGTCGCGGGTGGGTCGCGGGTGGGTCGCGGGTGGGTCGCGGGGTGGGTCGCGGGTGGGTCGCGGGGTGGGTCGCGGGTGGGTCGCGGGTGGGTCGCGGGGTGGGTCGCGGGTGGGTCGCGGGCGGGTCGCGGGTGGGACGACGGCAACAACAAAAAACAACAACAAACAACAATCAACAAACAATCATCATCATCATCATCGTCATCATCATCAACAACAACATCAACAACAATCATTTTAAGAATGTTCGCCCTTATATGCTCCAGTGTCCAATAACGCGTATTTCCCAAACCCTCGATACCCGCCCTCTTCGTCTTCGATCGAGCCCCTTGTGGGGGGTATACCTTTCTTCCCTGCAGGCCGGGCCCCGGCAAGCGACGGGGCGGTCGCGGACCGTCGGCCTGGCCAGCGGCAGCGCTGATCGGCGGGGCGGCCGCGGACCGTCGACCCGACCCCAAGAGGGACGGAAGGGGACCGACCACGACGACGACGACGACGACGACGACGACGTCGAAGACGACGGCGACGACGACGACGACGACGACGACGGCACGACGAGCAAAGCGAGAGCGAGAGTGCGGCGAGAGAGACGACAGCAGGGCCACGAAGGGCACGAAGTAGGCCCCGCCATGCGAACAGCGGGGACACGAAGGGAATGCGGTATGGGGCTCCGAAGAGCGCGAACCGAGCCGGGGGCCCGAATGCAGGTAATGCTGGGCACAAAGGGGAAAGCAACTATGGGGCACTGAGGGTAGCAACTGGGCCACGTAGGACAATGAAAAAAAAAAAAAGAATGAAAAAAAAAAAAAAAAAAAAAAAAAAAAAAAAAAAAAAAGGGGCAAACGGGGGACACAAATGGTGACAGCGGGGCCACGAAGGGCATGCACATGGGGCCACAACGGGCGCGACTCCTGGGTGCCTGGGTGTCGGGAGCGCGGAGCTTGGGCAAATTGCAAGAAATTCCAACGCAAGGCCATTCTTAGTCTCCAGGGAGAGCGCGACTCCAGAGCGCCCGGAGAGCGATTCCTGAATAAAGTGTAAGGAAGTTCCAAGCGAGAGCGCGATTCCTGAATAAAATGCGAGGAAGTCTCGGGCGGGAGCGGGGGTCCTGGCTAAATTGCAAGGAAATCTCAGGCGGGGGCCGTTGTTGTTGTAACACGGGGGCCAGGGGCCCAGTTTGAGCATCAAGACTTTCCCTGTCAAAAAACCGGGTGCGAGCGTCGTGGGGCACACTTTGATTGAGAAAAACAATATGCACAGGTGGGGGGATCAACAATAATTATTCTTCAAAAATAAGAACAATAACAATAATCCGCATCGCGGAATTCCACTTCAGCCACGCACCCAGGGACAGTGAATGACCGTTCGGCTCTGCCTCCTCGCTCTGACTAACACGAATAAAAGCATTATGAAATTTCGCATTATTATGACGTGATCGTATTCTTATTGTTCTCCGTATGAGTATGGTGCGCGTCAGCATTAGTATCATTAATATTCATCTTAGTATCAGCATTTGTGTTCTTATGATTCGTAATACTTTTCTTATGATTCGTAGTATTAGTTTTCGTCTTCTTTTCGTAGCAACAGCGTGTTCCTTTCTATTGTTTCTTAGTCGTATCAGCAGTTCTGTTGTTATCTTATTATTCATATTCTCAGCGTTAGACTGATAGTATTACTAATGTGTCGGATTTGTAATAATGTATATATGTTTAGTGTTCGTATTGCTTGTTCGTAGTATTACGGTTCGTATTACTATCGGAATTATTTATATAAGCAGCACTAGTTCCCCAATCAGAGCTTGCCTCTGTAGGGGTCCTAGTGGATTAAAAGGTTAGGTGAGGTTTGTCGCCGATTTCGGTGGCCGGGCCCAGGTGCCCGGGTGCCCGGGTGCCCGGCGGTGCCCGGGTGCCCGGGTGGCCGGTGAGGTGCGTGGCCGATTTCGGTGGCCGGGCCCGGGTGCCCGGGTGCCCGGGTGCCCCGGTGCCCCGGGGTGCCCGGGTGCCCGTGGGTGCCCAAAAGCCCAATAGCCCAGTAGCCCTATAGCCCTATAGCCCTATAGCCCTACAGCCGTATAGCACTATGGCCCTATAGCCCTAGAGCCCTAGAGCCCTATAGCTCTAGAGCCCCATAGCCCTATAGCCCTATAGTTCTATAGCCCTATAGCCCTATAGCCCGAAGGTTCTATAGCCCCTATAGCCCAATAGCCCTATATCACTATACCCCTATAGCCATATAGCCCATATAGTCCCATTGCCCCAACGAACATCTGATTGGGGTTTTCTCCGATATCATCTTATCATTGTTCGTGTTATTCGTCTGGTTCCTCCTCCTCCTCCTCCTCCTCCTCCTCCTCCTCCTCCTCCTCCTCCTATCCTCGACCATCGATCGCCAGGAGGAAGTGGACATCCCCTGAGTGGTCGCCCCCACTGGCGCTCGCTGGGTCCATCCCTCAAGAGCGGCGAAATCATCCATATCCACGCCCTCGCTGTCTGGATCCCGCAACGCGATCCCGTGGATACGCGGTCGTATGGATACGTTCCGCGCGGGGCATCCGCGAAAAAACACCCCTTCTCCAGAGGGTCGCGACCTGGGGACCCAGCCCGCGAGGCCTTGGATACGGATATGGTTTCCGCCCACTGTAGTGAAGAAAAAGCTTCCGATACCGCTGCTCCCTGGACCTCCCTTGGGATGCGTCCCGGCCAACATTTCCAAGCGAACCCAGCCGTGGCAACGGGAGCCTCTCGGGGAAGGGGGGGGCAAAAAAAACAAAATGGAGGGAAGCGCAGCGGTCCTCTCGAGGATTGTCAAAAACCCCTTTTTAGCAAAACGCCCTTTAGCGAAAGCTGCCGGGACGGGGGCGCGCGGCACCGTATTCCCAGCGCGCGGCCGGGCGGAATCACTGGTCGACGCCCAAAAACAATCGTATTCAGCGAAACGCACGCCGATCAGCGAAGTCGACCGGGGACTGCACGGGCACACTCGTTTGCCAAAACCAAATGGACCCGAGCTGATTTACTCAGTCGACTTGTCTGGGTGGGCGGACTCAGCGCTGGCTCTCTGCAGCTTTTCCCGCCCACGATTCCCCGCCCCATTGAACATCGTTTCACCGATCCCTATCCCCACGGGCGCGGCCTGGGCCCCACTGGCCGATGTACTCCCCCAGATAGGGGATGCAAGCTGTTCCCTTCGAGCTTCGAGAAGACACGTCCACATCTGAGGTGGCTGGAATGTGGGGCTCGGGCTGGGGACGGGGATGGGGACAGGGATCGGCTAGACGATACCCACCCGATCTTCCAGGCCTCCTCGCCGCCCCGCGGTCGCACGGCGCAGTGCCTGGCGGGCCCTGGCCGCTCACCGCGGCGTGGGCCGGGCGCAGGCTGCCGCCTCGTCGCCTGGCGCCAGCCGAACGGCCGCGGGCCGCGGCGCGTGGGC